AGCAAATTCTACACATATGATCCTTGACGAATCCGGTGAAAGCTGTTGGTGTCACTGTTGGTGACGCGTGTTTGAACCTTCTGCCTGCCTCTCATCCCAAAAGAATGCCATTCACTTCAACAACGAAGTATGGTGAGGATGGCGAGTCGCTTTGTCTCAAAGCCAAAGAAAAGGCTTTGCAAGTGTGATGGGCCGCGACTGTCGCGCATGATCCTGCTACCAACTCACTCTAGATTTTGCCGACGATGACGCAGCAACTGCCCGTGGTTTTTGCCTACAACGCTGCCTTAGCAGTGTCGTCGGGCTCCTGTCGACTTGGTGTCACGACAACGACCAAACGCGATCGCTACGTCATCTGGCTCGAGGCCAAGGCGTCCAAGCACCAATGGTACGTCCCCCTGGCGTATGTCCGCCGTGCAGTTAATCACGTGAGGAGGCAATGTTGTGTGTCGGACATGACGCAGCACGCGCCACCAAACGTCGTGCTGCCCATGCACGCCGTCATGGCGGCGTTCAAGGTACCTCATTGCATGCATTTCTTGTCTCGGTCAAAAACACTTGGCTTGTAGCGCGCAGTTGAGGCGCCGTCGTCGCGTGAGACGCTGAACATGGGAACGCCGGATGCTGCGGACGCAAAAGACGGTCACCTTCAGCTCATTCTGCACATGTCACTCATGGTCGAGCTCGAGTTGGACTTTACGTTTGATATGGCGCCATTGACGGTCGAGGCGGTTGAGATTCTGGCTGCCAAGATCCGCGACGTGGAAGACACGATTGCAGTTACCAACCAAAAGCTGTCGGCGCTCGAGAAGCGCCTGAACGAGGCGTCACCCACTTGGGCGCCATTCTGCGGTGGGGACTCCAAGAAGGCTGCTGAACCCTAATGCAAACTGTGGCTTCTACCAAGAGTACATAAATACCATTATGTACTCTTGCTTCTGCCCAGCTGCAACAGGTCCCTTGCGGGGTGAGCTGGTAGGAACTTTTGTATTGAATGCGAAGCGTTGATTAACGGTATTGCGACGACGGCGCTTGCTGCAGTCTTCGCGCGCTTGTGCAATCGCACCTAACTGGAAAGTTGCGCGAATTTCGGTTAAGTACGCAGGCGCACTTCAGCGCAATTGTAATACTTTAATCAAGTATAACGTCCGGGGATGTGACAGCACTTAACGGGAACTATATAATCGCACTTTACGGGACAGGTTTCGCGCGATGCGATTGGCTTAGACCAATGAAACGCTGGGTATCTCGATCCAGGGGTAAATAATAGTTGTGTTGTGCACCCCTGTCTCGATCCAAGGTTTCAAATTTCGAGATGCGAAAATCAATTCGCGTTGCTGCTCTCCCGAACCCAACCCGAATGTTCCCAGGCAGAAATTTCCTTTTCGACTCTCGTACAACTTGTACCGGTAGAATAAGGTTAGGAATCGATAGTAGTAGATCAACAGCCCATTTAACTGAGAAAAATTAGAAAACTATTGACGACAAATCGCTAAATCAACGGATTGCGCAGACCTTGGCGAGCCCGCAGCGCCAGTTCGGCGTACGTCGCTACGGTCGGCAAGCCAATCGTCCCGTCGCGCAACAAGACGGCCGCCGACGGCTCCAGCAGCACGATATTGACGGGCTTGTCGCCGCCGACGCAACTGTAGACCATGTAGAGCTCGATGGGCCGCAGTGAGCGCAAAAATTGCCACCACCAACTCACCACCATCGGCGCCGATGCTGTCGACACACTCGCCTGCCACGTCTCGAGTGGCACCGGGAACGCCGTCATCGTATGCAGCAAGACGCTGACCTCGAGCGCGTGCCAGCCCACGAGAAGGTCGCCAACCACGTACCGAAAGCCTTTTCGAAACAGCGTGGCCGCCGCGTCCGACGTTGCCACGGGACTCCAGTACACAAAGCCACCGCGAGGCGACGGACTCGGGCCCGTCGCGGCGCGGCCAAACAGAAACTGCTGCAACAACGGCAGCGGCAGTCGAGGTGACGAGATCGTTTGGCGCATAACGACCATGTGGCCGAGAAGAAGCCCGAGTGCCACCAAGTTGAGTGAATCGACGTCGCCCGTAGCAAACCCAGCTTGGAGCTCGAGCCAGAGATCGTTGCACGTTGCTGCCTCCTTCGTACTGCGCACCGTCTTGTCATCGTGGAAGAGGAAATCGATCGGCTGGCGCCAGTCGCTGATCGTCTTGACTTGATTTGCAAATGACGCCCACCACCGGTCCCGGGCGACGACGTGGACGACAGCGTTGGACGGTTTGATCGGCGAAGCATTCCGAACCGCCTCTTGGAGCTGCACGAGCTTGAGGTCGACGCATAGAACCGACCGGTACCGCTGAAAGAACCCACCTTTGGCCGCTTGCAAATCGCCCGCGACCAGCGAATTGAGAAACTCGCCGAGGGCCATGTCGTCCAGGAGCAGCCGCAAGACGACCGGCGGCTCGGCATTCTGCTGTTGACTCACATTGCACACATACTCGAGCTGCGGGAGCGGGTCCATCGCAAGCAGCGTCCGTACCATACTCGCTGTCGTGGCCATAGCGATCGGCCACAGCCCCGAGCCGGCCTGTGGCGTGCACAGAGGCACGTGGAGCTCCTGGAGCACGCCGACAGCGGCCTCGTCTTTGCGAAGGATCGCAGTCGCGTACAAGCTGGGCGTTGCGTGCACGACGCTGGTGGGCAGGTGGCGCAGGAGCGGCGCCTTGTGCGCCGTAATCAACCAGTGCACAGCCGTGTTCCCCTGGCTGTCGGTCGCCAACCAGTTGGGCTGCAGCCGCACGACAAAATCGATGTGGGCAGCGCTCACGTTCACGTGCTGGCACAGCAGCATGAGCGGCGTCGCCGCCAAGTTGAAGAGGTTCATTTGCACGGGCGGGAGCAGCGCCAAGAGCGTCGCAAAGTTGTCGGGCAGCGACACGCACAGCTAAACACGATACGTCATTGCATCGAGTACAAGATTTGATGCGACGTACGTAGTGTGCCCACGTGTTGCGCAAGTCGTCATAGATCGTTCGCAGGGGCGCAAAGCGCTGCAAAAGCGCCACGACAAAGCGCGGCGACTCTGCCATGTACAGCGCCATGGCCGACTGCCCCAGTATGTCCAGTCGGCAAAGCAGCGGCGGGCAGCGCGCAATGATCGACGTGACGACCCCAAGCTGCTTGGTCCCACAGGTCAAATTCAGTACATTGCGCTCAAAGTGGCTCACAAACGTCGGCCACGTCTCGGCCGGCAAGAGCGTCAAGAGGCGCAGCAGCGCCTGCATCGAGTCGGTTTTCGCTGCTATAAGAACGCACGTGTCGCCGTGCTGTACGTACGTCCAGTCGATCGAATACGATCTCGTCGCCAAGAGCGTCTCGAGCCAGACCACGTTGTTGGTCGCGCTCGCCTGCCAGACTGCGCTTTGGAACACTTGCGCCGACACACCCACTGGTAGTGGCACGCATTGCGCGCAATAGACCGTGGTCGGTGGCACGCACATGCGGTGCATCCACGCACCACACGATGGCGCGCGGCAGACGAGGAACGACGAGGCGTACGGGCGGATCGGGTTCGAGTTGCCGCACGGACACGCCCAGCGCGGCGCCGGTCGCGGCAGGGGCTGAAAGAACGCCATTTTGCGCTGCGTCGTCGTCGTCGGCGCGTCATCGCTGTTGGCAGGTAATGACGATACGCTTGGTGGTGTCGGTGCAATGCATGGAATCGCCGTCGGGCTGGCCGCGTCCGGGACCACGTCGGGGGCCAACGTCATCGTCGCCAAGGATCCTGGTGCCGCGTCTTTTGGCGGAGGGCATGCGTTCGATGGCACGGGTGCGACGTCTGCAACTACTGGTTGACTCATGCCAGGCACCGCTGCCGTGGGCACAGGCGGTGCGACAGACGCCGTCTCGTCGTCGTCGTCATCGTCCAGGATGACATTGTGGTGCTTTCGGGTCGTCTTGACCACGAGGAGGTCGTCGTCGGGCGATACATGCGGTGGGTCCTCGGGTGGTGACATCGGCTTGCGCCGATGTCGTTTCTGCACGGGCGTCAACGCGTCGGTACCATTTTCATCGTCCGACGACGGCGCGCTGCATCCCGGCGACCACGACACCGACGACGGGGCGTTTGGTGACGGCGGTGCGTCATCCGCTTCCTTGTCCATGGCTGCACCGAGCTCCCCGGCCAGTCTGTCGTCCAGACCCACGTCTTGCGAGCTGTTGGTGGTCGCTGATGTCGTACTCGGAGGTTCAAGAGTGCTGTGGACGACCGCTGGCGAGTCCAGTAGGTCGACCACGAGCGGTGGCCGTTGCATTTGTGTGGTCTGCTCGTCCGGAGGCGGCGCCACGTCCGGCTCGGAGTCCGAGTCGAGCGAGATGATGACAATGTCGCTGGACGCACCCGGCACGAGCGACGCGAGGTTGATGCCTTGGGGCATGGGCGGTGCGCTCGGCTGTCGGCGCTTGACGCAGATACTCTCCAGTGTACGCCGACTCGCCGCTTGCTCTAACCGCCGTCGTTTGCGGCAGGTGCTGCTTTCGTCCGAGCTCGTGCTGGACACGTCGGCCCAACTGGATCGGCCCGCGGAAACGGCAGCAGCCTCCTGCTGACATGGCACTCGCTCGCCTTGCCGCGGCGACTCTTGCTCGACCAGTTGCGCCAACGCAGCGCGGTACTGGATGACGGCGGGGTTGGCTTCCCAGAGCGCAGTCTCGGTCTTGAAGAGATCCCACGAGGCGAGCTTGATCGCGTCGACGAGATGCCACGAGTGCGCCGTCGCCACGTACAGCTCCTGCGCCAGCGCTTTGCTAGAAAACGGCAGCGTCTCAACGTCTAGCCACGTGTTGGGACCAGACGACCAGCGCGCGCGGACGAAGCGCCGAGGCCGTACCTGCGGTGCAATGAGCGGGACGAGCTCGATCAAGTCCAGCAGCTTGACCATGGCCCGCGTCTTGGACGTCTTCGCGTGGCTCGGGACATGCGCAGGGTCGTCGCACACGCCAAGCACTGTCTTGACGCGGTAGTTGCCGCTCGCATCCAGCACGAGGAAGCGGCGTGTGTACTTGAAGGGCGCGGTGGGGGCCTCCATGCGGAGCTGCGCTTCGAACATCGCAGGCTCCAACGTACGGAGCAGGAGGTCAGACGCAGGCGATGCGAAGACGTTGGCGTCGTCGGCCTCGATGGGCGGGAAGACCTCGACTCGTCGGTGCATGTCCCACTCGCTTGGACCGTCGCCGGCGACTTGCTTGGTCGGATTCTGTTGTCATTAAACGGGTTAAATACCACCGACATCCGTTTTATTGCGTTTTATTTCCTTCGCCAAAATCCGCTCGCGCACTACGCAGTCATACAGTATAACGCGTATGCTCCAGCGCTATGCGCTTATGCGACCCTATCCATGTATCGGATCGTGGCTGTGATGTGCTACGAGAGCTGCACAGCTACTCCATCCCCGTCGCTGCAACGTCAAGTTTAACCTCCCCGTCCAACGCGTTTTTCTCAACACGCCTGTGATTCGCTAAAATAGATATGCCCTCCCAGCCAATCCCATCACGCTGCCTATTATAAACCACCAATCACACACCAGCATGCTTCGCGCCGTTGACGCGCTTCAACGCGCCCTTGCTCACTCGCGAGCATGCAGCAGCATGGTCCAGTTGCTTCAAGACTTGCCCTAGCTCTCCATCTTCCTATATCCATCTACTATCCATATATCCATCTACCTATATCTATCCATCTACTATCCATCTATCCATCGATCGATGTATTGCTTCTAGTATCTCGCGCAACAAGTCACTCAATCCTTTGGGATATCCAAAGCAAAATCGATTGTCGGCGTCGCTTACGCTGCCCGGAGCGCAAGCGTCAACGCGCTCTTGAGGTCGCTTTCCGTTGCTATCTCTGCGCTCAGCTGCACCTCGCCCGGCCCCAGCGTGGTCGAGATCGTGTTGATGGCCAGCGTCCACGGACCGAGTCCGACGACGACTTGGAGCATGCCAAGCGCGTGCGTCGGCAGGGCATTTACCACGTGCCACCACATCTGGACCGTCTCGTTCGTCTGCGGGTCGACGCCCGGCTGGTGTCGCACCGTCGCCTGCCACGCTGCCACGTCCCGCGGCACGCGAAACAGCAGCACGTAGAGCTCGGGGGCGGTCCATCCGTCGAGCGCCGAGCCCAAGAGCCGGAAAAACGGCGTCCGAAAGGCGCTGGCGCCCGTCTCGAGCACGTGCCGATCCGCGCGGTGGGCGAGGTACGCCGTCGACGCCGCGTTCGGCTTGTGAACCAGGCATCGAAAGAGCTCCATCGACATCGTCGGCGTAGGTGGCAATGACTTTTGCATGCACACGAGGTGCCCGAGGACCTTCCCCAGCACGAGCATGGTCGCCGGGTGCAGCTCGTCGAGCACCCGCGCATTTAGCACCTGCGGCCAGAGCGTCGACCAAAACGCATCGTCCGACGACACGTAGCGGTCACTCGGTGTGCACAGCGTGATGGGCTAGACCATATGTCAATAGTAACGACTACGATCGGGCTCGTACCTCGCGCCAGTTGAAGTTGGCCTTGGACGCAGTCAGCAGCGCGGTCCAACACGACTCGTCGGGCTTGACCGTGATGGTGACACCGACCGTGCTCGTCGGCAGCGTCAAGACGGCTTCGAGCTGCAGCAGCTTGGCATCGAACGGCAGCAAGTGCCGGTACCGCACAAAAAACGGCGCCGACAACAGGCTCCGCTCGACCATGATGCTCTGGCCAATGTACGTTAGGATGCTCACGTCGCTCGCCATGCAGTCCACGAGGCGCTGCACCGCGTCCGGCGCCATCTCGGCCGCGTCGTGGACGTACTGCAGCTGGGCGCGCAGATGGCACTTGAGCAGCTGCAGCACAAACGCCGGTGTGGGCGCCGACAAGATGGGCCAGAGCTGGCTCGTGCCTTCGCGCTCGAGCAAGCGCTCGTTAAAGTGAACGAGGAGCATGGCCACCGCCTTGGTTTGGCCGTGCTGCATTGCACACGTAAAGATATCGGACGCCTCGAGCACGACTGAGCGCTCGATGTGCAAGATCAGGTCTCCGTGGCCGGCCATGAGCAAGTGGTGCAGCGGTCCATATCCTTTCTTGTCGGTGGAGCGCCACCAGTCTGTCGGGAGACTCAGCGCGCGCAAGTGCTGCGCCTTGAGGCGCGGGTGCTGACACGCCAGCATCACGGGTGTTTCGCCGTCGTCGTTCACATCGCTAAACGTGGCGTACGGCAGCACGTTGATGACGGCGGCAAAATCCGTCTCGGGGAGCGCGCGGCACAACTACAAATGTGATCTGTCAGCATGACATACCTGTCGTGTATGTCATACCACGTGCGCAATGCCATTGTTCTTCTCGTCCGGAATACGCAGCACACCGCTAAGGTCCTTGCGGAGCCGCAAAAAGTCGCGTGGCATCTCGCGCAAGAAGAGCTCCATGCACGACTGTTGAAATGCATCTGTCGAGAGCAAGAGCAGCGGCTGCTGCGACACAAGGTGCGCGACGACACGCGAGTGGCGCTGCGCAATCGCAATGTGCAGCGCGTTGCGGCCAATGTCGTCGACAAGCGAGCCCCACTCCGCCTTGGGGCTGCGCGTCAGGAGGTACTGAAGCGCATCGACTGCGCCGGCGTCCGCAGCTGCCAAAATGCACTGCTGCAGCACCGCTCCATCGAGGAGGACGTTCTCGGCTCGGAGCAAGTGCAATGCGTTCGACTGCGCGGCGAGGACAAGGTGGGCGGCGGTAAACGTGCGACGCGGTCGCGGCTCGCAGCGCGCGCAGTGACGCGTGGACGGGCTCGTGCACACAGTATGCATCGCACGACGGCAGTGCATGTTGGCGCAGACGTTCCAAAGCCCCGAGTAGCCGTCGTCGCTGTCGGTGACCAGGCCGCACGGACAGGCGACAGTCGTCGTGGGCGGCGACGCCAGTGCAACACCATACTTGGCCTTGAGGGCGAGCGTGCTCAAGGTGCACACAACATCGTCGACCACATCGGCGGCGGCGGCAGGGGTCGGCGGCGCCTGCTCGTGCTCGTGCTCGTGCTCGTCCATCGAGTCGTCCTCCGACTCGGTGTCGCCGGGAAGTGGCGGCTTCATGCGCTTGCTGTTCGTATCGTAAGGCGCGGCCGGGCGCTTGAGCGTCGCTTGCGTCTCGTCTGGCGGCTGCACCTTGATTGGTTGCGCGGTTTGCAGCCAGTTGGCAACGACCGGGTCGTCGAGCCAGAGGCGGTCTTCGGCCGCATAGGCCTCCCACGACGCCGGCAGGACCTTGTCGACGCGCAGCCACGAATTGATCGTCGCCACGTAGAGCTGCTGCAGCAAGTTGCGGTGCTCGTTACGGACGTCCGCTACGTGCATCCACGTGTCGCTCGACTTGTCGGCCCATTGCACCAGCACCATGTACCACTCGACACCTTTCCCGTCCGTCGACTTGCACTGGATCATGTCCACGAAGCGCAGAGGCACACGAAGCGCTGCGTCGCTTCGGGATCGGCTGCGCGGGTGCTCGCAGGATTCGGAGATCGCGTGCGTCCGAAGCCCGCTCGTCGTCATGACCAGGTACCGACGCGTGTATGTGAACGGAACGATTGGACTCTCGGTGACGAGGTCTGCATTGAAGTGCGCAGACGGCTGCATGCGCCGAAGGAGGTCGGCGTGGGCGTCGCTGCAGACCACGTCGTGCGCGAGCAGCGTCGGGTATTCCTTGGGCTTGTGTGCCATGGCTTGTTTGGCCAGCTGCAACAATGCCATCCTTTGGCCAAGCTATATGCACGCAACGTTTCACATACCAATCTTGGGTATAAATCCACCGAGCGTTGAAAACGGGGCGTATCAGGACTAAAAACACCGCGTTTTCAGAGTTTAACCGACGTTGCGACAGGAGTTCGGCGGCTTTGTCGACCCGATAGCGTTCCAAATCGAAAGCGCTTAAACTTTGCGAAGAGGTAGATACCGTCTTAGGGAGCCGAATGAGCTACGTAACGTTGGCAGGCGGCGCGTACAGAGTGAGCAATCACCACTTTTGTTATTTTTGGTATGTACCACATATACATCTAGATACGGCATTCGCCAAAACTAAATTGAAGACGAGCACACATCGTTATCGGACGACGTCGCGCTAGTCGCCGTTGGAACATTCGACGGCGCTGAAGCGGAATGAAATTCGACGCGAGCTGGGTCCAACGGCCGCTCACAGCACGTCACCAACCCTACACGCTGTTATCCAGCGGATCCAGCGGCGATCACCGAGCATTGCCGGGTAGCAGCACTTCATTCAACCTTAAAGCCGTGTGGTGCAATGTAAGCGATGTCGTCTACCAGCATCTACCACTGGTAAATGCTGGTAGACGTCATCGCTATAGCCTATCGCGCTAGCCAGAACGTCCTGCCATTACGATTCTTGTTGGCGCGCTCAGCGGTACCGCAGCATTTCTCACCGCTGACACTTCAAGTCGCATTACGTAGGATGTCAATCAACAAGCTTAGCCACCCGCTATCCTATATCGGGGGCGGTGCGAATCAAGAGACCAACTCACCAGGATTACCTTTGGTTTACTTTCTTCTTGGTCTACCTCTCACCGTCTATCTCACCTAATCGGTGACGCAATGATGCTTCGCACGTATACCTCTCTCGCTCCCCGCGGCAGCTTAAGATCGCTCAACTGAACCTGCCACAAAATGGCGCCGACACGTAGTGGCAGAGTGGCAGGAATTCCGGATAATACGCGTTGTATCCGGTAATCGGCCAGAATTGCACTTGCGTGGCGGAAATGAACGCATTGGGGCGCAACCACGCGATCGACACGGAGGACGCGGCCGAGCTCATCCTGGGCGAAGACTTCCAGGGCGAGACGTGCTTGTCGAACGCCGAAGTCGCCGTCATCCTCGAGAAGCAAAAGTCCGACTACGAGAGCCAAGAGAAGACGCTCACCAACGTCTTCCAGAAGACGTACTCGTACGTCCAGCGCTTCTCCGGGACGAAGGACCCGGTCTCGAACCAAGCGTCCGTGACCGAGCTCCGCGAAGCGCTCATCACGTACGAGTTCTCGCGCGAGCACCCGGACGACCCGTCGCAGACGGTCGAGATCCGCCTCGAAGAGTTTGAGATTGCTTGCCTCTCGAACCTCAACCCGGAAGAGCCCGAAGAGGCCATGGCGCTCATTCCGTCGCTCCAGAAGCGCTTTACCGAAGATGACATTGAAGAAATCCTCTCGATCATTGCGCGAACGACCGCGCGCATGCATGCCTAAGCCGTTGTTTCATCCGCTTCGTCTTCTTCTTCTTCGTTGCCGTCTACCAGCCGACGTCGAGCGTCGAAGCGACCGAGACGTCCTCGTCGCGCATGTCCTTGGCCTTGACCATCGTCACAAAGAGTCGCACGAACTTGCGCGTGATCGGCTGCACGCACACATGGAGCGGGGCCAAGCACGGGTGCGTCGGGAGCTGGTCGTTGTACGCGCCATTCGGGTCGGTCTTGCACGCGAGCACGTACACGAGGCGGCCATTGCGGACCAGCCGGGCGGCGGCCCACTGCAGCAAGTCTGTGAGCACCGAGCTCGGAGCGTAGAGCTCGAACGGCTTCTTTGATGCATTCGCCGAGCATTTTCGGGCGCCCGCGCGGAGGCCATAGGGCGGGTCACACACGATCGCGTCCCAGAATGGCTTGGGGCACAGCACGCGCTGGCTTAGATCCCACTGCACAAAGTCGGGGCACGGGAGGTCGTACTGTTCAAAGTTGCTCGCAATCGTCGCATTGTCGTTCCGAAAGAGCCCTTGCATTTCGATATCTAGATACACATCGAGGCGAATGAGAGAGAGAGGCCGGGCGTACCGCCGCCGATGCACATGGCGCCAAACTGCGCGCACGCGACAAGGACGCTCGCGGTGCCCACGAATGGATCGCAGACGATCGTGCCAGGACCTACCTTGGCGAGGTTGGCCATGACCAGCGACAGCTCGTGGTCCATGGTCGTCGGCCCAATGAACTTGCGCTTCTTGATCTTGTGCTTGTCGACAAAGTCCCGGCCCACGAGGCGGATGATGGCGAGGGATCTCGCAAAGAAGACGCGGCGCACGTGGGTCGCGTTGAGCCCGACGCCTTTTTCTTCGAGGAGCCAGTACGTCCGCGACGGCTGCTTGAGCTGGATGTCGCCGAGCAGCGGAATCGCGTCCGTGACCTCATGGCGCCGCTTGTTCTGCTCGTCGAGTGGCAATCGCTGCCCAAAGCAGTCGACTTGGAGGCTCCACGTCGTGTCGTCGTCGAGCTGCGCGTCCGCGCGGTCGGCCGCCGGCAGCGCGGCAATCTTGGCGCGCAGGCTCTCGTACAAGTCATGCTCGCCCTCGGCGTGCGTGATGTACGCGTAGATGCCCTTGATGAGCGCGCAGCGGGCGGCGACGCGCTTCGCCACGTCGTCGGACGGGAGGGTGATGAAGAGGAACGGCGAGTCGGTCGTCGGCACGTCGTAGCAGGCGCGGACATCGTCGACGCCGGCAAGTCCCAGGACCGCGTCAAGCTCGGGCAGCCGAAAGTCCAAGTATCGATGGACAAAGTAGATCACGTAGACCGGCATGGTCCTGGCTTCCTGGACGAGATTGCACCTGCCAATGCTTCCGGATACATTCGCGCGACTATCCGGATACACGACCCGGCGACATCGGCCAAATTGATGCACACGGCCGACAGAGTGGTGGCGACTATGGTTCCGGGTATTCCGCAAACGCCAGGACGAGACTGTCATGAAAATACCGATAAGCCGAGCAATAAGTTACTGTACAGTTTCCTAGTCGTCTTAGACGATGGCGAAGAGAGGGTCTACGTAGGGCTCGGAAAGACGTGCTGGGCGAACTTGGGCATGGCCCGCTTGGCGAGCGACGACGTTGAGGACTTGACGTGCGTGTCATCGACTCGATTGGGCAAAACCGACTCGGTGAGCGGTATCTCGACGAGATCGACGTTCGTCCGTGGTGGTGCGACGCGTGGCGCCGGCGGTGGTATCATACGGTGGGCCCATGGCACTGGCGGCGCGCGTGCCTCCATAAGCTCTTTCTCAAGGTGCGCAATGTCTTGGCGCAAGCTCGCGAGTACGTCTCTATGTTTTGAATGCTGCGCGACGTGCTCCTCGATGGCCACTTGGTGGAGGTGCTTTTGGTGCACGACATCGGCTTCCAGGTCCATGCGCCGATCCTTCTCGAGCTGCAGCACCTGCTGCAACTGGGCTCTCTCTTGCGCCCACTGCGCTTCAAGTCGCTCGTGCTGCTCCTGCCGTCGTTGCAGCTCGCGAAGCTCTTGCTCGAGGCGGTGGACCTGCGTTTGGTTGTATTAGACAACCCGGGGCACAGAATGTACGTTGGTCTCTTGCTGGCGTAGCGCCCGCGCCATGTCGTTTGAAGAGTCCTCGGTCCTTGCGTTTGACTGCTGGAGCTGCGCCAACTCAAAAGTGACGTCCATTGTGGTTTGCTGGCTCGCTTGCAATGTCTGCCGCATCGTCGCCAGCGCCATGGTCGTGGCCACATGGTCGTCATGAACGCGATCATAGGCAGTCTTCCAATGCACGCTCTCGGTCGTCTTTTCATCTACGCATTTAAGCCTAGTTAGCTAAGAAAGATCATGCTGGTAGGCTGGCACCGAGCGCATCTTGCAAGTCCTTGATGTGGTCTGCCAGCACTTGTATGTCAGCTTCAAGCGCCTCAATCGTTGCTGCTTCTGGTGTGTCATCGGCCATCTTCTCGTGTGAGCAGTCGTTGCGCTGGTTGGTCGATGTTCCTTGGACTCGGCCGCTCATCGACGACGACCGTGTCGTGCCTGTTTGGGATCCTCCGTAACCGGATGCCGGTTAAACCTAACTTCGGCATATGCCGAATTGTTCATTGCGGCGCTACATTGACTTGATCATGGCAGCGGCCCAGCTGCAAATACCGGCAATCGTCGTAGGAATGAGCCAGCGCACTAGACTCTCGGGTTGGGCTACTGACAGCGTCTGGGGAACGTGGGGTCGCTGGCCATCGCGTTGCCAACCACTGCGTGTGTTGAAGTTGGGTAGCAGATATCGAGTGTCAAAGGTTTATCCGGCGTCCGACATCAATTGCTGGGGTCACCAAATATTTTGTGATGTTTTGCGTCCGTCGCGCAGCGCAGCGTGTGCAGCAGGCGTCGGCCCGCGCCTTCTCGTCAGCGCCCAAGCCGCAAGGTCCGTGGCAGGCGTACCTTGCGCTTCTCGAGCGCTCGCCGCTGCCGACCAAGGTCGTGACCAGCGCCGGCATCGCAGGCCTCGGCGACATCACGTGCCAAACAGTCTTTGAAGATCACCCGTTCGACGCCAAGCGCTTTGCCATCTTCACGACGCTAGGCGGCGTCTACATTGCGCCGACGTTGCACGTGTGGTACGGCTTTCTCAACCGCGCGATCGCCGGTACAGCCAAGACGGCGGTCGCGAAGCGCCTTGTGCTCGACCAATTTGTGTTTGCACCGACGTTCATGGCGTCGTTCTTTGCTGTTCTCACGGCGACCAACGACTCGGGTTCACATATCCATTGCCACTGCATGGTATCTCACGCGTCCATGCTAGAGGTCCCTCTCGCAGATCGCATTCGCTCCAAGATCTCGACCGATTGGTGGGACGCTGTCAAGACCAACTGGGTCGTGTGGATCCCAGCGCAGTTTTGCAACTTTGGGCTCGTCCCACCGCCGCTCCAAGGTACACAACACAAAATGTCGATAGAAAAAGAGTGCGGACCGTCCACTGTAGTGCTCTTCTCGAACGTCGTCGGGCTTTTCTGGAACGGGTACATGTCGTACATCAGCTACAAGCCGGCGCCGAAGGAGATCGCTGACGAAACCAAGTGAAGACAGCGCGAGTCGTCGTGCTAGGAGGTGTTACGTACTAGTATACATCAAAGTGCTAGCAAGTCTCGCCGTGCCAGTCATTGAGGGTCTCTAAAAGTGATGGATGGAGCGATATTTGATGGAATGAGGCGCGAAATGATGTCGCATGGACCATGCCCGTTGATGTATTACCCGATAAAATTACATTGATATCGAAACACACATTGCCGGATCAGTCTATCGACAAAGTTGGTACTAACTGGCGGCTACCTTTGGCTCAGTGCACCAACTCGCTCGACGACACGATCGGCTTCACCACATGTATCGCTCGTTGAGAGCCTAAACGACTGTCCAGCTACAGTAGCTGTGTTGGTTTCGACTAGCTTCTTGTGTCCATACGGCTCATATCGTTGCCCCTGAGCCGGCAGTTGGAGCGCCAGGAACGCCACACTCGCCTCCGCACAGTGCGCCACGTCACGACCTGCGAATTGGGTGTTTCTATCCTGTCAACCGGACTGGAATGTGTATCCGGATGGCGCGATCCCAGGAGCAAGTTTTGTGGTTGGCCATGGCGTCGACAAGCGAGATGGAAGTCCTCAGCCAGGGCGCGGAAGCGGTAAGCATATACCACTAGCCATGCATCTCATCGCCTAAGTAGATCGTATATGGTACGACCTTTGCTGGCCGACCATGCGTCATCAAGGAGCGCGTCGTCAAGGCCTACCGGCTGCCGCAGCTGGACAAGAAGCTCAGCCACCGCCGCCTCGTGCAGGAAGCCCGTTGCAACATGAAGTGTCGCAAGGCCGGCGTCGACACGCCTTGCATCCTTCTCATCGACGAGACCAAAGGCCGCCTCTTCATGGAGCGCATCATCGGGCTCAGCGTCAAGCAATGGCTCTTCAACATGTACGACGCTGCAACGCAGACGTACGCGCCGGCAGCCAAGGAGCTCGCGTACCAGATCGGCGTCGCCATTGCCCGCATGCACGACGCCGACATTGTCCATGGCGATCTCACGACCTCCAACTTGATGAAGAAGGACGACACCACGACCATCGTACGCCTCCCTCGACACCATTCCATACCGACGATGCTGCTGCATGTAGACGGTGATTGACTTTGGCCTCGCCAATTCGCAGCCGCTGCCCGAAGACAAGGCCGTCGACCTCTACGTGATGGAGCGCGCGTTCCAGAGCACGCATGTGCAGTCGGACGATTTGGTACTTTGACGATGTCTCGTGTTGCAGTACCTCATGCTGCCTAGGTGGCCGAGATCCTGCGTGCGTACAAGGCCAAGTCGCGCCGCGCCGACACGGTGTTTCATAAATTATACCTCGTGCGCTCGCGTGGGCGCAAGCGAACGATGGTGGGGTAGTCGCATCCAGTCGGAATGCGCAGTCGATCGCTTGTATCAACATGCATCTTACCTTCGTACGTTCCGCGTCGCCTTTATGCAGCAAGGTAGACGTCAGGGCCTATCTACAGTATGGGCTGTGATAACGCAGTATGCGAGATGGGTATGCGTTGCCGGCCGAGCTGGATCGGACCACCTGTTTCCGTGGATCGCGCGGGAGTATGTGGATGGCGAAAAGACGGAAGAGAACGTCCGACGATGCGCGCTGCTCGTATAACTGCACCACACGGTGCGTCGTGGGACTTAGTACATGCAACCTGGCGATTTATTTCTTCTGCTTCTTTGCCGGGCGAGCCTCTTCTTCATCCTCATCGTCGTCATCTTCGGCTTCGTCGTCATCGTCGTCGCCACCAGCGTCGCCTTCAAAGTCCTCGTCGTTCTCATCGTCCTATAGAGCGCAACGGATGAGCTACATGATCTTTGCCAACACACAAACGCCTGGGCGGGTCCGAGGTCTCGCGACTACCTCGAATTCTGTATACAGATAGGATAAACCGACCTCTTCTTCGGCATCTTCAGCACCTTCTTCTTCATGCGTATCGTCGTCTTCCTCGTCGTCGCCGCCCTCTTGGTCCTCGGCCGAGTCGTCGGCCGGCTCGTCGTCGCCATCTTCGTCTTCCACACTGTCGTCGCCGGCGTCCTCAACATCATCTTCCTCTTCCTCGGCATCGACATCTTCCTCGACGTGCTTCGGGGCCTTGGCAGGGCTCTTCTTTGTGCTCTAGCATTCCATCATGAAGACCATGGACTTCGCGGCAAAGCTTCCTCGTACCATGCTTGACGACGCGTCGGACCTTGCGCTCACGGGGCTGATTTGCTTATGGAGCTCGTCGCGGTCCGTTTTTCGAATCTGCGGTCGCAAAACAAACGTACGTATTGCTACTGTACGATGTAATGTACGTTTACATTTGCTTCTTGTATTGAAATCGCAATCCCTTCGTACATACAATAAGTACGCTCATGTACGAGCGGGAATAGGGGTTTGTGGCCAGCACTTGAAGTTTGTATGGGGCGTGTGTTCGGGGGGGAGCCACAGGTTGAAGGGGTGGGAGCGCCGGCTGGAATTAAAATATCTTGCTGTTTGTATTGCAGGGTCGGTTCGAGAAACTATTTTTAGACGGTCGCGGTATCGGTATACAAACCGCAAGTCCAATTGGCGAATGCACGTTGGGGTCCCACAGGCCGCCACGTGGGGGGTGCTCCTGCGCGTAAGCCACGCTGGACGCATGCGCGTCATATCCTAGTTCAAGGACGCTGTGTAAGGACAAGTCCGATTTCAAACGCGCGAGATTCATTTTGATGGGTACTCGGGGCACGCATGTGTCCGGTTAAAGATCGACCGGATAAAGATTGGATACTCCCGGATACAGAGTACGGATAATCCGATTTGTTTTCCGGACGTGGTCGCCCAGTTTTGAAGACCCGCGAAGCCGGCCCATGGAGTGGCAGATCCCGACGATCCGCGCGCTGGTAGACATGGATCAAGCGCTTCAAGGAGGCTCATCGCCATGGAGCATGTAGAAGCGGCAGTCGCAGGTAGACGAAGCGCAGCGTATCCTCGAGAGGATAGCATCCTACGTGCTTCCGATCATGACCAAGCGCCAGTACCGCGTGCAGCAGCTCCTCGAGTTCTTCCCAAAGAATGCCAACTTGCTCGGGATGAACGTCAACCATGGATGGAAGATCTACGTGCGCCGTACGATACATGGTCTTGGTCCGCATATGGCTCATGCTGCTGGCTAGTGCGTCCGGCGGAGCGGCCCACGAGCTTCCTGCCGTTCGAGCACCTTCTCGGGACGATGCTCCACGAACTTGTGCACATGAAGATCGGACCTCACAACGCAGCCTTCTACAAGGTAGCTCTTCTACGCATTGCTCTACGATCGACTTCCTGTGCTCTAGCTTCTGGACGAGCTGACGTCGGAGATGGAATCCCTCATGGCCCAAGGACTCATCGGTAAGTTTCTCCACCTCGGCCAGTCGATGTCCATCCTCGATGCTCTGCAGGTATCACTGGCGCGCAGTTCCAAAACGCTGGCCAAGGACATGTATGGCACCCGTCACACTACCGCGGAATCGTCTGATCGCTCCTTCCAGGCGCTTGGCGGCGCCAACGCGAGAAACGTTGCCAAGGCCGCCGCCGACGCTGCGATACAGCGCATGCGGGTACGCTCGCTCGGACGTCGTCTCTGTCGATAACACAGTATACGTGTACATAGCACCAAGCGCTTGTGGGCGCCAACGGCTCGTGTCGTCTCGGCGGCGATGCGTCGGCCACAGCGGCGAGCTTGACCCCTGCGATGCTCCGACAGAAAGCACTCAAGGCCGCCGAGCGACGACGACACGACCAACTAACCTGCGGTACGCACGACGAGCCCAGTCGTCAGATTGGAGAGGCCGCGCCCGAGCCGTACGACGGGTGGAGCTGTGACCAGTGCACGTTTCTCAACGACGAGCGGCAGTCGGTCTGCGCCATGTGCGGTGCCGGTACCAAGAAGCGCAAGCGCTCAATGGGGGCGGTCGTGAACCTCGCCGCGTCGCCACCGCGGCCACCTCGGCAACCGCCCGGTGCCCCTACTGTCATCGACCTAACGTGACTAAAAACACACAACCATCGCTTGGCATTCGCTTAGAGCTCGTTGCTGAAGCGAGGCACGCCGCTCGGGCGGCGGTCCACGGCCGCCTCCGACTTGAAGATGCCTTTTCCAAAGTACTCTGCAATCGTGTTGAAGCCGTCGGCCGCCGTCTCGAGCTACACATGCCCATGAGATCTCTACAATCACCGACACGACGTACTTGGTTGAAAAACTGCTCGTGGTTGCCAGCCTTGACTTCGAGCGACTGCTTCAAGCTCAACAAGTGGCGGTGCTCGGGCGCACACGTGATACACTCGCGCTCCGTCTCGGAAATGCAATTCTACGACACGTTCGTCCAAGATTGTCGATGCAAGTACGTACTTGGTGGAACGAGTGGCCGCACATGAAATGCACCACAGGTAGATCCAAGTCGTGGCTGCAGAGGTCGCACTTGGTGGCTTGGAAGACCATCGCCTTGGACGAGAGACCGGCCATTTGCGTGCGCATCTTGGCCGTGTCTTGCTTGTACTTTTTGATCTCGTCGCTGTCGGCGTCAATGTGCGCCTGGTCCTTCTTGAGCTGGCTCACGACGTACGGCCGCACGACCGAGAGCGGCATCTCGCGCGATTGGCTCAAGATCGACACCTACAGCCCACACGTATCAACTTGATAGCTCGATACTATAATGCGACGCACCACTTGAAGCGGCGGAATCTGCAACGTCGGCGTCACGTCCACGAGCGCGAGCAGCTGCTTGAGCTCGCTCCACTCGTCCGTCGAGCGCACCGACGAGCCTTTGGGATACGGTCCGCGCTCGGCAAAGTACCGCAGCGCCAGCAGCCAGAGATTGCTGTCGGTTTGCTGCTTGACGAGCTCGAGCACAGCCGCGTCTTCGCCCTCTTCCATGTGGTGCTGCAGGAGCATGTGGTACATGTGCAGCTTCTGGTACAGATACCGCTTGCCCTGCTTGAGCCCGTGCATCTGCATCAAAATGAGCGCGTGGTCTTCGTCGTACTTGACGCGCGGGTTGTCGAGGAGCGAGAGGACCGCGGCTTCGGTCGTCACGGGCGACGGCGCTTCGTGCACTTCCGGCTCTTCGCTGTCGTCGTCCTTGGGCACGTCGCGCTTGTGCGTGTCGTTGAGGACCATCTCGAGCAGCGTGTTGCCAATCGACGTGTTGCTGACGCTTTCGACTTGGACAATGTACTCGAGAAACTCGCGAAGTTGCGTGCGGTGCGACACAAAGAGGTGCAAAAAGTCACCTAGACACGCCACCTTAGCTCTCGCCACCATGCTCGTCGCCGTACCAGGGTCCGACTTGGCGTTGGTCGTAGCCGAGAAGCGACCCGTGCACAGCTGCTGGAGAAGCTCTGTCGTCGGGCCCGGGAGATGCGTCACAAGCGTGCGGCCATATTTGCGCAGATTCATATCGGCCTCGGCAAACGACAGTCCTATCGGTCGCTTTATAAACATGTCGCATAGTCTTTTCGAGAACGTACCGCGAATGTAGTCGAGGGCATCGGCGACACGGGCGTGCTCGGCGTCGCTGAGGGTATCCGAGATGCGGTCGAGTTGGATCTTGAGGTACCACGAGTGCTCGGCGTGCTTTCTCGCGAGCGCGAGCGCGTGCTGCGGGTAGTTTTCACGCAAGACCGTCAGCGCCGTCTCGACGTCGAACGTGAGCGCTTGCGGCGTGCCTTCCTTGGCGTTGCTGCCATCGTCGTCAATGAGCAGGAACGCATCGAGCTTCTTGACGTCCTTGAGCTTGGTGTAGCACTATATCAATCTTTCAAATCGTCAACGTGTCAAGGCCATCAGACGCACGTTGAGGAGGAGCGTCGTGTGTTCGGCGGTCGCAAAGGCCTTGGTGTGCAGCGTCTCGAGGTACGTCGTGAGGTTGTGGATGCGCTGCGCGTCCAAGAAGCGGCGAATCACGTACGACGGCTCGACGTGTCCTAACCCATGTCTCTCGCAATTACACGAGACAGCGGTTATCTACCGATCGTGCGCGCATACTGGCGCAAGCTGCCGTCGTAGTCGCCCTTGTTGTAGAGGAAGTCGCCATACATGCGGAAGATGTCCATGATGCTCGAGAGGTCGTAATTCGAGCTAAACGCAAGCGAAATCGCGATCGGGTACAGGTTCTTGTCAAAGAGAATGCTGAGCTTGGACGCCGTGTCCTTCTCGCTCAACCGGTAGACCTAACGCCATCAATTCGCCACAAATTTTGAGAAAACTAAAGTCGCCATACCGAGCCAAACGACGTGACGACAAAGACGGCGCCAAATTCGCTCACAACGTGCCGAATCTCTTCGACTTCTTCGTACCCAAAGCGCGTAGCGACCACGTTCCGGGACGACGCGCCTACATGCCAACGTCCAAGCTCAGAAAACGAACACGACGATAGCTGTGTACCCGGCAGCGCCTTGGCCGTGTTGGTGAGGATCCAGTTGAACGCAATGCACTTGTTTTGGAGATCGTAAATGTTGAGCTGGTTGCGACCTACATAAAAAAATTGCCATAAAAAATTCGGAAAATTTCCTGAAATATGGTGAAAAATGGTGACAATACCGCGCGAATCGGCGTGCGCGACAAGCAAATAGTGCTTGAAGAACCCAAGGTACTTTTTGTCGCCTTCGAAACCAAAGCACCCAGTGCGGTCCTCGGGCGTGTAAAAGTACACGGCGTCCGTCTGGCCCATGCACATGTCGCCGTCGTCGTTGACGCAGCCGCAGTGCAGCGCGACGCCTGCACAAGCCGATGAGATCCCACAAACCAGCGGTATAAGTCGCACCGCGCTCGTCGAGCACGACGGATCGGGGCATGAGGCTGTTCTTGGACTTGACGTCGTCGCAGTGGTAGCACGTGAGACCGCGCTTCGTGGCCGCGTACAAGTAGAGCGCGTTCTCTGTCGACGTCTTGCCCGGGCCGGCCGCGGGCTTGGGTTTCATGGCAAAGCTCAGGTTCGTCACAGGCGAGTTGATGGCCGACTGCAACAGCAATGGCGGGCCACCACCCGACATGCCCGGCGCACGACGCTACATGCATGTCGTTGTAGGTGAATGCGGTGCACAGTCGTACCTTCATTTCGCTCCGGAACAAGATGATGGCGCCATTGCTCAGGCCTACGGCGATCTGCGACGCGTCTTCCGAGACGGCAAAGGCCGTGACGGCTTCCTCGGGAAACTACATAGTCCATGAGAGGCGATGGATCATGGATGTTGGCGACCTTGGCAAAGATCTTGAGCTGCAAAATGAGCTTGGGTTTGCCTTCGCGATCCTGCTGGTCCGTGCGCCACATCTTGACGAGCGCCGTGCTGTTCTGGACGCTGCCCGTCGACGTGTACATTTGTTGCTGTCCATCATGGCGCATGAGTTGGCGTCGATGCCATGAATCATGTACCTCGTCTGTCTGCGCCTGCGTGCGGTTGGCCTCTGCGACGGCTTTGGACGACTGGATCAAGTCGGGGTCGCGCGGATCCTTGCCGTCGCCGATCGAGACCAAGACGTTGGTCTTTTTCATCTGCCCACGACGCCATGAGGCCAGGATCGTGCGAGACGCGAGCGTACCATGACGACGTGCGAGACAAAGTGGTCGTGGGCGCGGAACGCACGCGTCTCGAGCTGGCGGTTGGCCATGTGGATCTGGCCTTGGGCGTCGCCGACGATCAAGAGACCGCGGTTGCCGCTCATGCACGTCACGTCGACGCCCTACGCATGGTTGGCCTCGTCGTCTTGGCGGCGATAGGACGCATGTACCCGCAGCCAGTTGCCATTGCCGTCCTTGAGGAGGTCGCGGTCAAAGAAGTTGAATCGCCGCCACTGCGCCATGCTGCGGCCGAAGGAAGGAGCTGACTTGTGCTTGCGAAATGCTCGGCTCGCAACCAGACTTGATGTTTGTATCGGGCAATAACCTGTAATAATACATATGTTTGGGTATACATTTTGAAGGTGTTTTCGGATATGGCAACTTCAATGCGCCAGCTCGTGCATCATACAG